TGGGTGCGCCACCTGCTGCAGCTCTGTCTCTTTAAGGAAAAAAAACCCCCCTAAAATGAGAAAACACCCAGACTCAGCGCTCCTGTCAGCGGAGGGGTGGTTCTTGCTGCCCCACGCCAGGCTGGGGGAGCGGGCGGAGGTCGAGGGGGAGCTGGGAGAGCAGGCAGGGGATGGGGGCTGACAGGAGTTCCCCCATGGTCCCTCCCCCGTCCCTAGTACTTATCAGCTCTGAGTTCTGCTGCAGCTCCCTGCTGTAGCCACTGGGGACTGCCTGAGTCATCAAAGCTCTCTGAATCTTTTTCCAAAAATTCGGAGAGCTTTGAATTGATTCGGACTTTTTAATTGGTCTCCTGATTCAATTTGGAGATTCAGCCACTGAATTGGGCCAAATTTCCTCCAGGCCAAATCACCACCCAAAGGTTCGCACAGCCCTAATATTTATCCAGATTCTTTCTTGCCTGATTCTGACCAATTCCCCTCTGGTGCAGTACCTTTCTTCTGCCTGCACCAACACCTCTTCCTGTCTCTATGCTTCTCTGCTCAATTTACATGGTGTCATCTGGGGGTCTCGTGTGCTGAAGTACATAAGTGATTGTGTGCTCAGACAGCAGGGGGAGTTTTGAGTTGATCCCCAGATGGCCATAATTTATTTGTACAGTGTAACCTCACCCAAATTCAAACGAAATCTATAAGCAAAGGCCAATAGACTTCTACATGCCTTTTACTTATTTCCATGTCTATTTTCAGGGTTTAATTGCAACACATTAAAAGGTGTTCTCAGTAACAGACAAACGTTTAGTTGCCATGAGACTTGAATGCCCAGAATGGTGGCCAGTGAAAGAAAAATGAAGGACAGCATGCAGAGAGGTTTCTCTTGGTTGTAGAATAAGAAAATGTGTTTATGCTGCCAAACTTTCACATTTCAGAGGTTTATCAAATGTATTTAAAAATAGAACTTTTTTTTAGTTAAGGAGAAACATACAGATCTGTTCAGGTATTTTGCGCTTCAACCAACCAACCAATCAGTTACAGCAGCAAGAAGTGATTTTAATTAATGTGAAGGCTCTGATCTTGCAGGGAGGTTTGTATTGGCAGACTCTACTTAATTTCACAGGAGCTCTCATGTATTTAGGGGAATCCAATGGAATAGAACGCATTGTGCAATTGGGACCTAAATCCTTAGTTTATTTTGCTTTTAAAGGAGGGGAGATCGGAGAAATTCCAGTCAGACAAAAGTACCTAAATCAGTGATTCTCAACCACTAGTAGCCCTTGAGGTACCCCAAGTTCCTTTTAAGGGTGCTTCACAGTGTTAACGCTGTTAGGTGAGCAGACATGATTCACAAGATAAGCCCAGCATTTTCAAATAAGAATCCATAGTGTTAAGAACATTCTGATTTTGTTGTGGTCTTTTTAAGTTATTTGTAAGAGAATAATTACTCTATTATTTTTCTGTAGTCAAGGAATGAGTGAAGGCTAAAAATTGGCATTTTCTGAGGGGTGTCTTGATTTTAAAAGGGTCAAGAACCACTGCCCTAAATCAACTTTAAAAAGTGATAGGATCATTCTGATATTGTTGTAGCTACAAGGTGTATAGCAATAAAATGATTACTGCACTCTCAGGATACTGAGTCATGAATCTATTTATTAAAAATCGTAAATATTTTCCAGGTAAAAGTGCTGTTTTGAAGTGTCTGCTGGATATTCACAAGATTTTTCGAGAAAATGACCCTGCCTACATCCTTAATGATCTCTACATTTCAGACTATTGTATTTGGATTCAAAAAACTAAGTAAGTGTTGTAAGCAGTTTCTGGTTTTGGTTGTTACCTCATTTTTACCAGCACTGATAATTTTTAATTTAAAATGTTGATGATGAAAAGAATCCTTAAAATTCCCTGATTGAACTTACTTACCTTGCTTTTCATAAAACGCCAAAGAAAGCTGCTTTATTTTTATTGGTAATATTGGCAGCAGTGGAAGATTTGCTTTTAGATAAAAACAATATTTGAAAAATCTGTGGTCTCCAAATATGAGGGGGGGATTTTTCTAGGAGTATTTTAAAGCTGCCCAGAAATCAGTAAGCTTTTTTTAAATGGAATTAAAATGATTAAATAACATTCATGTAACATCTAGAAAAAGTTTGTGGCAACTCCTCATACAGAATTGTAAAGTGCTGTTAATATGAACAAGTTTGGTGGTGGTGGTACTGGTTGCTTACAACATCCATAGTAAGGTTGGAAACGGACATTCTATCACTGTAAAACTTTTTATGGCAGGCCAAAGGCCAAAAAGATAGATATCCATGCCCTTTGTTTTGCCACAAATACCCAAAATTTGTTAGTGCAACATAGGTGGTATAAAAGTGTGCCACTTTTTTGCAGCAAATGGGTTCCTGCATTTGTAGAGAGATACCCCAAGGAAGTCCCTTGCTAGGGGATTCCTGGAGCACGTGTCTGCCAGTAGGGAACCTGGGGTTCCCCTGTTCACAGTTATCCCACAGGATTGGGCCCCTGAATCCTTGGGAACATCACGGTCCTGACCCTGCAGGACAGCAGTCAACATCTGTATTGCCCAGTGAAGCAGATAAGTTGTGTTGGGGGACATCACAGCACAGTTGCTCCACTTTACTTGATGACCTCTGTTTATAGCATAAGAGTCACAAATCATAGGCTTAACAGTGCCTTGTACTGGTTAGCAATCAAGAAAATAGCATTCTCTTGGGCTAGGGACAGAAATTGCTCTCAAACCAGTGTAAGAGATCAGAAACCAGTTCAGATCTGTAACGCAACAGAAGTTCAGTGCACATAAACCACTTTGAAAATGGCTGAAACTGGTTTAAGATAAACCTGGATGGATGTAGTATCAGACTTAACTGATTAAGGTTAATCAGTTTATTGAACTTCGGTCTCAGATCCCTTCCAGATTCAAGTTAACTCACAGTCCCCCAGCATCCCAGAATGCTTTGCACCTCCCGTGCAAATTCCCCCCGCCCCTTGCACAGTGGGTGGGCTAGCCTTGTCTCAAGCTGCCTGCTCCAGCCAAGCAGTGAGGCAGGCTCTAGCATCCTCCATCTTCTGGCCTGGGCCGCCACAGGCATGTGGCTGCATTTCCAGAATCAAAAGTGAATGTCTGTCACTTGCTTATCAGTTCAATCTACTCAGCTTAGACTAACCTGTGAAGATTGAATCAATTCAGGCTTGGGCTTTTTGACTCTCTGTACTTAGCTTTGGAGTCTGTGTCAGACTCACCTCTAGCTACTGCCGCTGCACATTCAGCCCTCATTCCTCTTACCTTTCTCTCTAGACAGGGCTTTCTAATAGTTTAGTGCCCATTTAGTCCTAGGCATCAGTGTGGGAAAAATGAGTCTCTTAGCCTGACTGGAGCCAGGCAGGTGGCCATTTTGCAATTTATAGCTCCCCTGCTTTTCTGCTGAGGATCCTTGGTATTTTGTCTGGAGGTATTTCACCTCTGCTGCTGTCCCATTTTCTAGTTTTGTTCCTCCAACAACCATTTGTAACTCCATGCAGTCAGACAGAATAATATCAAGTAGTTAGACTGAGCTGCTCATAGAAATAGTACAGTGATCTCCCACATTCTTCACAGAGGGTTTTAGCATGGGCGCTGTTGAACAGCAATCTGTGCAGGTTTATTGGTTCACTTGATCCTCTACCTGTGTCTCACTACACAAAAGACCCTGCAGAGCACTGTTGCATAAGTGCCTCAGTTGCTCCATGTGTTTTGGAACAATAGTGGGTGTAAGATGTACCATGCATGGCTTTTCCACGAGGGAGGCCTTATTACCATCAGTGCAGTAAATGATATTGCAGTACTGTACTATATTATTATGACTTGATAGTCTAAAATCAATGTCTACATTTTAGCTTTTAATTTGACATAGATTCACAATACGTTTTATTCTCTGAATCCATACCAATCACAACAAGCAGAGAAGGGGGTTAAGGCAGAGAGAAGTGGACAAGGAGCAGCCACAGAAATCTCAAAGAGAGTTTTTATTTTATATGCAAAGCTTTAATGGGCTGCTGATGATACATAAAGGTCCACCTCAAAAAAAAGTATGAGCTAATGATTTGATATCACCATAATTTCTTAATGAATTATAGACTGCTAGTTCAATGCTGCTTGTCAGTAATTTGGTGCATTACTTGATTGCTTATTCATTTGTTCTTTTGTGTACTTTTAAAATGATTGATTATACTCCCACAGTTAACAGTGCTAAAAAAGTCCTGATTTTGGTGGAAAAAACCTGGTACATTAAAACAAGTCCAGTTTGGTTCAATTTTTCACTTTTTCCATGGGCTAATATAGGCCAATACTCTAGGATAGCCATTGGAAAATTCATCAGCAGATTGAAGGGTTAGAAGAAAGTATAGTAAATGAAGATAGAGAAAGCTATTTTGTGTCTCTTTCTTGAAGAAATGAGTCATATGAGAGCTATATTGTTCCTGTCCATGTCAGCGAATATTAACATCTAGCAAGCAAGTCATCAGAACCTAGATCGTCTTTGACTACAGCGAAGAAATTGTAGGGTAGATATAAGTGACTGATAGATTAGCACATTTACTGCAAGATGCATACATTAGGTACCAGTTAAGCAGAACTGACAGTCTCTGGAAAGCAGGCAATTAAGCTGTCTTACTATCATAATGACATGGCACAGTAGTTACCTGACATTAGATGAGGAAGAGGAGCTGCAGAATTCCTGTCCTATTTTTAGGCTTTAAATCAAGAAAACATTTAACCACATGCTTATGTCCTTCCCTATTCAGGATGACATGGAGCTGTGTGCTTGAATTTAAGCATTAGCTGAAGTACTACTCTGAAGAGAGATCCTTTTTTTTAGATCAAGGCATAAATGTTTTTTGACTCACTGCAGAGAATTGAAGTCCACCCCTAATTACGGAAAGTATACTGAGGAATCGGAAATGGGCATTGGCTCATGAGCAGGCATTCTCATGCTTTTTCACTTTGTGGGCACCACTTCTTGTTAGAACGAGGATGCGGGCCCCATCCCTCTCATAAATGATCGTAGGATGTCCTTTTGGTAGCTCCAGCAGATGCTTAACACTGAGAGGTTCTGAGGGGGAAGCAGCTGCAATAGTTTTAGCAGTCTCTAATATATTAAATGTTTTGTCTCCTGAAATACGCCAGTGATTCCATCTACTTTTGCTCTTCATTTTATTGTTTCTTCCACTGGTTAGAGGAAGGTTAGAGTCTAACCTGTTCTTTGCTCTTCTGGAAATACCGTTAAGCTGCAGTATTCCCTCCTTCTCTTGGGTGTTTCTCTCTTCTTGCAGCTGGTAGTGTCAGTCCCACAGGTGGTTCAGAGTCTGCGATGGCGGCTTTGTTGCCTTTCATTTTCTGACATGCCAGCAGTTCCAAGCAAAGGCTGAATCCTCTTTCTTTCCGTCTGCTTTTTTGGGTTTGCTGGCTCCTATGTACAATTAAGAACCTGGACACACAAACGCAGCTCTGTTTAGCTTCCTACACTAGAGGCAACAGTTTGGGAGTTGCAGGTTAAGAACAAACTTTTATTTGATGGCACTAGACACAATGTTCTGGAGTTGAGCTTATGGAAAGTTCCAAGTTTAAGGCCCTGTCCACAATCTAAAGACACTGTGTGTTTGTACCAATCTCATCTGATCTGGTTACGTCGGAATTAGAAGTGTGCTCCCAGTGCAGCTTTTCTGATTGTGAGGCAGGGATAAATATGCTTGCATGTCTCTGCCGACCATGCAATGTGATTTTGTTTGTACTGTGTTTTCTGAGTGGAAATGTATGCCCAACAGCCACCAAGAGCACATGAGATTTTGTACTTTAGTGTGTCCTACTGTGCAGGGCTGGGAAGGCGGATTAGCTCAGCTGGATGCAGAAATACAGTTAGGTAAAGGAGTCCTGCAGCACTTGCAGTGGTGACGGTGAGGAAAGCATGTGTTGTAAAAAAATAAAAATAAAATAAAAAAAATAAAATAAAATAAGAAAAAAATTGTATGCCAAACTAGGCCACCTAGATGAGCCTAATTCACCCAGCACTGACTCAGGAGAGGGGTTCATGAAGGATGCTTGATTTTGAACATGGCAAATGTCATATTTGAAAATAAGCTGTTGAACAGCAGTGTGGAAAGTGCATGGTTAATGGTCAGTTGGATTTGACAAAAACTATTTAGCTGTTTTTCCTTAGCAATTTCCAGGCATTCTGATAACATATGGATGTTACATGTGTTACTTTTCTGTCATTTGAATGCATCAGCCGGCGAAAGACATTGTCAGATGCAGACTAAATTCCATCCTGCCCAGTACTTTTTTAATGAGTGCCACCAAGTTGCTTGTTGATTTAATGTAGTAAATTACACTGAATATTATAGACACTGACATAAATAAGTTTTGGTTTTTAATTTTCCCATTTGGTTGAGGGGGAGGCAGCATATTGCTTAACTAAGTTAAACAAGAAGGAAGGAGAAACAAATATGTTGACCTAAACGACAGAAACTACATGAAGAACAGTGGAGGCAGCTGGGAGTGAAGCTCGGCAGGTGGTGTCAACATTTATGTTGAAAAGCCAGATGCAGCCAGATGGAAAATTGCATCTTTAACCCCTGAGGTCATAATGGCATGTCATCACTTCATTTGATCCCCCTGCTAAGTGAGCTTATCATCCACCCTGCTGTCATTCCTGTTATTACTTTCATTTCCATAATAAAATTAAATTTAATTTGTCTGGTTTCCTCACTGTTTTTTTAGGTCAGAGCTTTTACAAACTGCTATGATGCAG